ACTTTTCAATTCCTAGTCCCATCTCTCTTTCTTCCCTACTGAAATTCTTTTTTTTAAAAAAGATTTATTTATTTATGTATACAAAACTGGGGTACAAGCCAGAGGTGCAGGGGCAGCAAGAGGCTTCACGAGAGACAGAGTGGGGAGCAGAACAGGCAGATAAGCAAGTACTCTGCTGAGGGGAGCAGCGGGCGAGACAGCAGAGGTCTGCTGCACCAAGTGGGTCACTTCCCGGGTCGGGGGTCGAACTCCCACTGAAGTGGCTGCAGCTGTGGCTAGCCTGCAGTGCTGTGCTTTAACCCACTGTGCCACTATGGAGGGACCCTGCTGAAATTTTTATGGACTAAATTGGTAACTGTTGGTTTGTACTCTGTGAGTTCTTTTCCTTCAACTTGGCTCAGCAACAAGTTCAACATGACTAAACAATCAGGCTTGGTTCTGGGCCAGGCCCTAGGCCTGCAGCACAGACCTGTTTTAGTTTTGGCTAAATGCATGGTATAGGGGAAACTGGTGTCTGGGAACACCCTATTCTTGGTTGGAGAGCTGCTTTAAAAAAAAAAATTTATTTATGCATACAAGAGCTGGGGTGCAGGCCAGAGGTGAAGAGGTGAGAGGACTCACCAGAGACAGAGTGGGGAGCAGATCAGGCAGATCCACTGAAATACACTGCTGAGGGCAGCAGCGGGAGAGACAGGAGAGATCTGCTACGCCATGTGGGTCACCTCCCTGGACAGAGGTTGAATTTGTGCTATAGTGGCTAGCAGTAGTAGTAATGGTGCTGTGTCTTTAAGCTCTGCACCATCCAGGAGGCCCTGGAGACCTTTTAAAAAAAGAATTCTACAAAATATTAGAGGATGAGAAAGGGGTAAGGAGGGTATTTTAGGCATAGAGAAGATCATGTGTCAACCTGTACTCATCCCTAAATAATGCACTACCACTGTGGGTCTCAGGGTGGTCTCTGAACTAGCTGCATCAGCTTACCTGAGAGCTTGTCAAAAATGCAAATGCTTGAATCTCACTTTAGTCTACAGAATCAGAGACTGGAAGTGGGGTCCCTTCAGGTGATTCTGGAGTGTGGTACAGTTTGAGAAACAGTGCTCTCAAATATCAAAATCTGCTTTGTTTTTAGAAAAGGGTCATCCAAAAAGGATGAGACTCAAATTTCCTGAAAATATTCTTACCATCTTTTTCAAAGATATCAACCCTACTTTTTCTTCTTTCTTCCTTACCCCCAATAACTCTCTTGATCTACCAACTTGCCACCTACTCAGAAGGAAATCTGTTCTTTTAAAAATTGACAGTATCTTAGCTGTCAGTTATAGTGTAAAATTATATTCTACAATTTTACTTCTGCCTCAGTGCTAAGTATGCTGCACTTGACATTTTTTCCCCTCTTTCTTTCCTAGACCTGTATTCTTGGCTAGTGGTTCTTTTTAATTATATTTGCTTTTTCCAAGATATTTTTGTGTATGCACATGATAAAAAATTAAACAGTATAGTATATAATAAAACCTCCAACATTCTCACTCCCTGGAGAACCACTGAATATTTTCTGATTTTAATTTTAGAGGTACAAGCTCATATGCTTATAAGCCTATTTTGAAATTTATTATCTTAATGTCTATATCTATATTTTAACTGATGAAAACCGTTGCAAACTTTTCCATATATTATTTTTATGTTCTACTTGTTTCCTATGTTCTTTAAATATACTTAAGCTCTGTTGTTCTAAGTTTCCAATAATCTCTTTTCTCTTTATTTTCTTAAAGATATAACTCTCCTATATTATCATCTTTACCAACATATCCCAAATTCTCACATTATTAATATTCCATGCATGATGGTGTTTGGTTGTATAGGTTTGATTATTATGACTTAGAATGTTTATAGAACATTCTAGACTACTAGAACATCTGTATTTTTTGAAAACTCTTGATACAAAAAGTTTTATCTATACCTACGTGTATAGCAGCACTGTTCACAATTGCCAAGTTATGGAACCAGCCCAAGTGACCTTCAACAGGTGAATGGAGAGAGAAACAGTGGTGCATATACTCCACAGAATATTACACAGCAGTGAAGAAAGATGAAACAGTGGTATCTGGGACAACATGGATGTACCTTGAAGTCAGTCAAAAACTCAAAGATCAGGTTAGTTTCACTGATCTATAGAAAATAAATACCCCTCCCCCAAAAAAGCATATTATAGGAAAAGAATAGAAGGAATAAAATTAACTCAGCAAAAAGAAGATAATGGTTACCAGAGGGGTTTGCGGCAAGGGTAGAGAGGATGGGGGAGGCAGGAAGATGGGATAGGTGCACATGTGGTTTGCTGGTGGGGGAAAAATACATTTACTGTTGTGAGAGCATGTTCGTGCTGAATGATGCCCTCAAAGGGTCTTCCAAACTGCTCTGTAGACAGACACTTATTTCATTCCATGGTCTTAGAATCCTTCTCTCACCCTTTATACTTGTTGATGGCCCCAAGCCTGGGTCCCTGTCTTTGCTTTCACGGTTTTCATTCACTTACTCAACAGTATCTGTAAAGTTTAACATTCCAGGCAATAGGTACGTCAACACTGAAAAGCCTCTGATGGCCGTATTTACCTGTTTCCAGCATTGACACCTTTCTGAGCATCTGCAGTGCACGGCAGCCCCACCTGATGTCTCAAGCTACAATATTTTCTTCCCTCCCAACATAGTCCTCCTGTCCCCTAATTACCTCAATCCATGCCTTTGCTTATGCTCTAAAATGTTTGGAAAATCTCTTAGTTGACCCAGAACAGGTCCCTTAAGTCCCAATAGTGATAAAGATACCTGATAAACTTACTATATTTAATTTCTAAGTTCTCAAAGAAAGATATAGAAAGAATGTTTGTCTTCTAGCAGAGTCTGGGTTACTTGATTTTGTCCCCAAAAGTACGATTTATGGTAATTCCACAGACAAAAGCTGAACAGGGCAAACTACAGAAACAAATATAATTGTGAACATTTAAATAATTCTCATAGACAAATTAATCCCCAGTGACCAATCTATAATTGGAAATAGGAAGTTATCAGATTTTAAGGATAGAAGTATCTACCTTCTTACTACACCAGAAATAGCAATTTAAACCAATGGAGAAACTTCCAAAAGTGCTGCTTGTCTCTTCCGCTCTTTTCTCCTCTTCAGCCTACAGTGGGCTGACCCAGACCTTAAGCTTCCCTGTGCAATCAGCACTTGCCAACCGCTTGGCATGATATACCCAAGTCTTTTCCACATCATCAGACACAATTATCTGACCTTTCCTCTTTCTGCCAATGAGGCTGGCTCACCTGATAATAAAAATAATCGCCTAGTGACAAGTCAGCTGTGATACTGTTTTGCGGGTACGACTCCATGCACATTGTTTTAATTAAAGCAAATACACTAAAAAAAGCTGTCAGAAGCAGGACAGAAGAATTTCTTGTGTTTTGCGTCTCAAGCTTCTGGTGGCACATATACTTCATACCTATAACCTTACAGATTTCAACTGAGAAAATCCCAAACAATTCCATTAACCTTTTAACAGCACATGATAGAAAATAACATCATTAACTAGTATGACCCAATGTCATTTACTTTTTAAAATACATAAATAGAAAAAAATCAGAATCTCCTTTAAAGTCTGTTACCATGGAAATTTGGTTGAATGAGTACTAATTCTATATGAGAGCACATAGATTCGGTTTCCTTTATATTCCTGAATATTTTATATTTAGCTAACATTACACTTTTAAATGTATCTTCTCATTTCTTTGTGCAGGTGGGGCTGAGCAAATTATAGGAGTGTATGAAAATATCAGTAAAACCAAACTTTGCTACGGGAAACATCTTTTCCCCCTCTTGATAAAGTTATCACCTGAATGAGCTCCCTCCTAAAATTCTGTGTAATTCCTGGATCACTGGCTCTAAGGCAGAAGTTTCACATGTAGGACCCGAGGGCTCAGCAGCTAACAGGAAAAGGGTGGAGGTTAAGTGGAAGTTTTCTATTAAAGTGAGATTGGGAACTGAGGGAAGTCCAGTTTCTGTTTTACAGAAACCAGGTCATTGAATGGTCTGTGGCCTATCACAGACTCCCTTGAAATTCCTACCAGGACTGGTACGAGTCCCTGTATTGGTGCAAAGCCCATTTGCTTATTGAACTGTGGACTTAGGCCTCTGAGATGTGAGGTTCCAGCATCACACACTGGTTTCCCAAGTGTAACGGTTTTTCAATTGGAAGTCACTGTGTTAAGGGTGAAATGACCTGTGGGGCTGACTTGCCCTCTCAGGTCCTAAGGGTGGGTTTTTTCTTTTTACCTATACACCATTGTATACTACCTCTACAGAAGTATGCTTATTTATCCACACACCACTCATCGCCAACCTGTCATCTCTCCCTCACAGCACAATGCTATCTCAGGGACGAGGAGGGGTAATGGCACATTTTGTTTTTATTTTCTGGTATAGTTGCCTGTGCCTTTGGGCAGCCCTCTTGGGGACCGCAGCTGATAAATAATTGTCTGCCTTAGCGGATGACTACTGTGCTGTGAGAATTTAAGTGTCGGCAATCATTTATGCTACAGGAGAAAGAACATTGTATTTTTCCCTTTTTTTAAGTGGGGTGGGGAGGGAGGAAGAAACAGTGCTCGGGCAGTTCAGTAACAGTTTTTGGGCATAAGAAAAGAAATCATTTCCTACTCCTTGCAAACTTTGATTTACAAAAGAACGCTGGAAGCTAAAAGCCTTGTTGATTTATCATGTGAAGCAAAGAGTAATTTTTCTCCCCTTGTTATGCTTTCATATAATCATGCTCACTGCCTGTATGGGTGGCATTAAAGAATTTCTGAATAAAAATAATAATTTCTTGCTTTCAACCTTCATAATTCACATCAGCAAGCACCCTGCTGGCGGTGATGCCTCCTGCCAGTGACGCTCCATCCCTTCTGGACGCCACTTATCTGCCTCGCACAGCTGCGAGTCCCATTGATCACAGTACCTGCAGGGTAATGCACCCGTAGGCGTTCTTCAGCAGATTAACCACATCGGCGTGAGACAGCCCATCCAAAGGCTGCCCATTAATGCTGACAATCCGATCTCCAACCTGCAAGTACAAAAGTGGTGGAAAATCACTATCATTAAGAAAAATTAAATTTGAGGAGAATGCTTAAAATTCTTTGTGAGTCCCATTTCCTATTTGTGGCTATTGTGAAGATTTTGTTTCTACGGTAGGTACGTGTTTAAGAAGCTTGAGGAATTTTTATGGTTTTGCCCAACTACAGACCAATCAGAGAAACAACGAGGGGGTCAGATTTGATTATTAAAAGGCGCAGTAGGCCTCTTTTGTGTGTTGGTAATCCTGGTGTTTCATATATCCATTTGCCAGTAATAGTGGGGTGCACAAATTAACTGTTCAATAAAGCTCTAATGAGGGAACCAAGTGCTTTCTGCTTTCTTTTTCTACCTAAGTTAAGATTACGGGGCAGTGGAGGTAAAAATCATAAGAATGTTGACTTTTTTTTTGGTGAAGGAAGATTGTGAGGTCAAATTTCTTTTAGGTAAAATTTAGTTTTGGGTGTAATGAGGTGCTAAAAATGGTATGGAAGGCGTTGCAAGTGAACTGCAATTTCTTTCATTGAGAAGCTTTGAAACAAACAATAATATTTTTATACTCGCAGAGACCTAATGAATTTCAGGTATCAGCTTCCTCCAGCGCACTGTGCTGTCAGTTTGGGTCTCTGAGGGTTGCTGAATTCCAGCTTTAAACATGGTGCCCTTGTTGGCCACCTTTTCTCCCCTTGCCACATGCTGCTAGCATCCCACCAATTCCCTCTTACTTACTTTAAGCTTCTGTGTACGTGCTGCCACGCCACTGGCCTGAATCATGGCAATAAATATTGGGATATCTCCTAAGGGACTTCCTTTTCCTCCAGCAATGCTGATTCCCAGGGCATCACTGAGCTCCTAAAGAGGAAGGAAAACAAGTGTATATATGTAATAAAGGACCAGCACCCTCTTGTCCCCAGATAGCAATTGAGCAAAATCTCTTCCTCATGCAGGAGGCCAGGGAGACAAAAAGAGTTAACTGTAGTAGCTTTGGGCTCAGAAGACCTGCATTTCAGCTCCAGCATTAGAGGTTCAGGGTCTTTGGGAAGTTCCTTAACCTCTTAGCGCCTCCATTTGTGCATAAAATGAAAAGAACACCACCTATATTACAGTGTTGGTTTAAAGACTGAGATACAGTGAAGACCTGGCCCACAGAAAAGGCTCAATAAAAGGCGATGTAGGAGTAAAAAAAAAAAAAACACCGAAAAAACAAAAAACCAAACCCTATGCTACTGCTCAGTTTAGTGGCCAATTTTGATGCAGACTTGGCAAGTATGTTCTCATATGGTGTTTATGATTAAGCTGCCATACATATCATGCTCTTCTGGGTGTGAACAAACACACTTGGCTCTAAAATAGCTGTATGACTGCATTAAAACAAAGGATTTTAGAGGCCACCCACTGTAATAACAATAGAGCCTGGAGAGAGAAGTCACATGTGACTGACACCATGCCCTGTGTGACAACGTAAGGCAACATGGTCCTGCTGGAAGAGTTTGGCTCTTGTCCAGCTTGGTCCCACATTGCTATCACAGAACTAATATTTTAAAAATCACTAAAGAAAAAAAATGACAGTTTCCAGTTTCAGTATGGTGGTCTGTGTACCCGACTCCCCCCCCAACCCCCACTGATGAAAACGAGAAACTCTTGTCAAAATACCAAAACAACTACCAGGGGCCATTGAAAAGTCTAAGAAACCTAAATGGTGGTGGAGAGCCAAAACTTGGAGAAATGACAACAAAGGATGACTGGATTTTTTCTTTATCCTGAGGGTGAGATGTGGGTGGAAACTGATTAAAACTGATGGAAACTCCCATCTTTCCAACCGGAGGAACCAGGAGAAGGAGTCCTTGTGGCTGGGGAGTCAGGGGAGAGACTGGAGGCGAGGAAAATATTCTTAACTCAGCAAGTGGACCCATGGGATTCTCAGGCTCAGAGTGTGGGACAGACCCAGACTATAGATCTGACTTGAGATCTGAACCACCACACAGAAAAGGAGAGAGAGAACTTGCAGCTGAAGTTCACTGGGTTGACTGCCTGTGAAAGCATAAACATCGACATTCCTTGGAGTCTACACAGCATGACACCCAGGAAGGCCAGGATGGAATCCTAAATTACCTGACATGCAGAGAACCAGAGAAATGTAACTGATTTTCTAGAGTTCATTTAAAATACACAGGAGAGTAGAGGCAAACATTTGCTAACCCCTCTAGTCAGAGATAGTTTATTTGCTGTTTTCCAAAGTATTTGTGTCTAGCTTATATTTGCTAAATGCATCAACCTGAAATCTGCATGCAAAATGGCAAAATGTGTTTCATGATGAAGTTTCTGCTTGGACCATGTGTGAGAAAGAATGGGAGGAAGGAACAGATCTTTATTGTTTTCAAGTCTGTAAAAACAAATGACTGAAATGACTAAGGAAACAAGATAGTATTTTATAAATTTGGAATGAGGAGAAATTTATGGAGTAGTTAGTTTGGCTTTGTTCAAATCTATCACAATGCTTCCTCAATAAATCCATAATTGTGTACATGCTGGTATATTTAACTTCCCCATCATAGAAACATCGGAGTTGCCACTCTGGTAGAAAACTATTAGGATCACATGCAGCAGATTTAGTCAAACCTGAGGCCAAAGTAATGAATGCCACTTCTTAGACATTCATGATGCACTGGCTCCTATGTCAAGTTCATTACATGCAATACCTCATTTAATCTACACAACAATATTTATTTTGGAAGGTAAAATATGTTATCATGCCAATTCTCTAGATAAGAAAAATAGAGTTAAGTAGTTTATCCAAGGTCAGAGAGCTAATAAGTGCTAGAGCACTTTCAGACCCAGCTAAGATTATCCCCAGGGAACTCAGCTATGTTGGGCCACTTTATTGCATTTGAACTATGACTACAATAGAGCCTTTTTTTCCTCCCACTACTCTGGAATCCTAAATTAAATGATTAATGTGATCAAAATAGATGCCTACTTTCTAATATTCTGGATATCATACAGGAGTTTGAAAATTAGGCCTTGACAAATTTGTGAAACGAATGCATCATACAATCTCCTTAGAAGAGCAATTTAGCAGTATGTATAAAAGCCTCTAATAATAAACATTGCTTTTGATGCCACAATTTCACTTCTAGGAGTTAATCTTGAGGAAATAACCCATAATATGGGTAAAAATACATATATATATATAAACATATTTGGCTATAAAAGACAGCAGAAGTTGAGAATTATACTGTTTAATAAGAGGAAGCTGGTTAAGAAAATCAGTGTATTTGTAACATGGAATTCTGTGTACAGAATTCAGTAAAAATTGTGCTATATAGGTAGTCAAAAATACTTAGCTTGGTTATAAGTTCATGCTTTAAAGTGGAAAAGGCCAAGATAATAACACTTTTTGTTTTCTAAAACTTAAATGCACAAAGATAGTGGTGGGACATACCCAAAAGTGATTAGTGGTCATTTCTGTGCTCTGTTGTATTTTTCTGTCAGTTTATGTTGGTTTGCTAGATCATATATTTACCTCAGTAACTTGAAAGAGAACACTAGCAATCCAAGAAATTTATTCGGGGTGGGGGGCACGGATGTACATTTTATGTAGATCCAACACACACCAAAAAAGAAAACAGCAAAATAACCGACTTACCCTGATTATCTCAACAGTCCTGGGTCCCATATCTGTGCCTATAAATAAAGAAGCAGTACAATTAACTTTTTTAAATTAAGAGAGAATGTATTTACAGTGTAACGTTGCCCCATGAAATGGTATCATTTCCTAGGCTTTCAGGAGAGAATACTGAACAAGCAGGCATGGCATCCTTTCTTAAAATCAAGCGGGCAGCCCTTGATAGGGGCTATGTGTTCTGTTGTAAAAAAGTTCTTTGTGTTTGAGATAGATATGGCCATAACCATTTGGTCTGACAAAAGCTGATGGACTAGCCTTAACTGCCTAGAATATGGTGATTAAATGGATGGGAGGATGAGCCATTTTTGTTTCACTATACATTTCTCTGCCTTATTCAAAGATAACCTTGTATCCAAGGAAAGATTTAGAAAGACCCGTTGCCCTCCCCATTTGCAATGATACCTGCACTTCTGACCTTCTTGAGTGGCCTGCACTTTTAAAATTCCCTCATTCTAAGTAGCTTTACATTATGAAGCACTTAAGATTTTTACTTTTCTGTTTTTCATATGATTTGTGTCAAGTTAAAGGCACATTTCAAAAATCAATCTCTATGGCTTTTCTTCCTTTAGAACAGGTCTTGCAGAAAGCGAGGGGCTTAAAAAATATTTCAGTGGAAGGTAGAAAGATTATTACAATTTTAATGTTAATAGAAATTGGTGATTATCAGGATGGTTTTGCTGAAGGTGTATCCAAGTAATACCTAAAATTTTTTTTAAGGTCTATTTTTTCTTTACTTATTTTGTATAGAAGAACTGGAGTACAGACCAGAGGTGTGAAGGGTGGGAAGATTCACCAGAGGCAGAATGGGGAGCAGAGGCAGAATGGGGAGCAGAACAGGCAGACGGACTGAAATACACTGATGAGGGGAGAAGAACAAGCAGACGGACTGAAATACACTGATTGAGGAGAGAAGCAGGGAGACAGGAGAGGTCTCCTGTGCCTTGTGGTTCAGTTCCCTGGCTGGGATTGAATTTAGGCAGCTGAGACTTAACCTCTGTGTCACCAGGGAGGCCCCTACCTGAATTTTGGGGGGAAGAATCTGAAGCTCTTTTTGTGCCCACCAAGTTTTGCAAGCTGTTGATGACGGGAGCAATGGAGGGAGGAAAGTTGCTGTGGTGACTCGCCTGAAAGGAAACCCAGTGGTGAGCTGTGTGCAAACACTGACTTAAACATCCATACTTTGGGCTTTAGTTACTGAGCAGCCAAAACTATGTAATAGAAAGAGGTCAAAAAAGAAAGCAAAAATCACCATACTCCTTCTTACCAAGTGAACACAATCCCATTTAACATTTTCCCCATTTCTTTCTCCATTATTTTATTATATATGGCTTCAATTCTCAAGGCAGAAAACAGAATAACTTAAGCATTTCTTGCTCCACATAAAGTCAGAATCCTTTTCCTTGGTTGTCACATTGTGTTTATATATGACCAGTTAATGGACTATGTGTCACGGGACTGCAGTCAATGTTTACTCCCTCATTAGCCAAATCACATGATATGTTTTGCTACAATTACAAGAAAATCCTTAACCGAAACTTGACCAAAGCAGCAAATATCAAGGGAGTATGTTATTTTAGGAATATGCTAAAAGTTTTTTTCCTCAAAGATTTTAAGATAATAATTTAGCCCCATCTACCATTACTGCCCTCTTGTTCTTAAACATGCCAGCAATAACAAATAATTCTTGCCACCAAATTACGGAGGCTATCCCTACTTGCTTCAAAAATTATAATAAATCGAAGACCACAACTATCACTGGATAAATTACAATTTGATCCATTTCCTTAGTTCTATGACACAAATTGTTTAATATTTTAACTTCCTTAAGTATAAGATTCTCAAATATACACAAAATTGAAAGTATTATACATCAGACTCCCATATTTATTATACCTAGATTCCACAATGTTTTATGATATCTATCACATAGCCATTCACCTATTAAGTTTTTAAAAATTCATTTCAAGTAAGTTACAGACACCTAAATATTTCATAATGGATAAGGAGTATTTTTATTTTTTCCCTGAAAGGATAAGATTTAAATCAATGGTGCTATAGTGATAACCATCCAGAATTGAGGCGACGGTAGCATAACAATATTAGTATATTAGAACTTTTGCCTAAGAAAACCTCAGAACAATGCATTTGCCCAGGCCTGTATAAATATGAACTTTGCCTGGCCGTGTTTCCTCAGTTATCTGAGGAAAAGATATCTCAAGTGTTTTCTTCCAGTGCATACTTTCCTATGCAGAATAGAGAGTGCTTTCCTGGCTGGTGGTGAAGACATTTAAAAAAAGATGCTTGTTGGGCTGTAGACTAGAAGATTTCTTGGTCTTTCCGTAGGCCAACTTAACAAGTTAAAATTCTCCTTGGTTCTCAAATAAAGGAAACTGCCACCCTATTTTACAATTTTCCAAAAAATCTGTCCCCTCGAAAGATCTCATCACTTTAAACAGATTGAATTGAAAATGTCTGGGAATGGTATATCTTGTTTTTCATCTGGGTCATGAGCTGGTCTTACTCTTCACAGCTGGCTACAAGCCTTCTTCGAATTAGGCAAAAATCAGCATATATATATATATATATATATACACACACACACACATATACATATATATATATATACACACATATATATACACACACATGTTACATATGGACACATAAATATATAACATAGGTTTTCTTAAAGCTGAATAAATTCTATCATTCAAAATAAAAATTCTATGCAGGAATATTTGCTACTTCGTCCCAGGTTTCTAAAATATGATCACATTCATCAGGTAGATTGTAATAATGTTTCCTGGAAAGAATGACAGAGTTTCTAAATTTGTTTCTCTGTTTGACTTGAGCATGAACTTTATTAATCACTAGGAGGCTCATATACACTTCTCAAGAAGGACAGGAATCCAGTTCTCCCCACCTCACCTATCATTCCAAAATATTCTTCAAACACTGGAATTCCTTTATCCTTATGTGCCTTTGCATATGCCTGTCTGGGATGAGTTTGCTCTTTCAACCTATAAACTCCTTTTGGCATAAAAACCAATGGAAAGTCCTTTGTGAAGTTCCTCCATACTCTCTAGGAGAAATGTTTCTTTTTTAGTATTGTTCATTCTGTACCCTAACTTTCTGTGTACAGTGAAGCTTTAATCAAATACTCAACTAATGAATATTCTACTAAGAAAGAAGTTGAGGCCACTATTTTGCATCTCAAGTTCTCATTGTTGACATGTCTGGTTGGAATCATTACCGAGTCTTCACTCCTGAATCACACTATAGCACTGTCCTAGCACATATGATATTTGCGTCTAAAACATAAGCCGGAAATGTCAAAAAAAAAAAAAAGTTCCAGACTCAAGATATATCTTTGACTTGCTTGACTGCTTTGGGGATTCTCTGTGTCAGACAATCTGTGATCGTTTTTGGACAATGGTATTTTGTCTTACCTATTTTTAAAACACAAATGAGGCAAAGAAGACAGCTAGAAACATTCTAGAAGCACTGATTTGCTAACCCCAAAATCAGAGCAAAGGTCTTGGGGAGGTTTTCAGCCTAAGGCAAGCAGGGAGGGGACCAGAGTAATGATTTAGCCTCAAAACAGTCTTTTTTTTTTAACATCAAAGGGGACTAGTGGGCCCCATATAAGTTTCTATATTTTCATTATGTACCAAAAGGGACTAAATGTATCGTCTACCATTCTGGTTTTACCTATAATTACAATGAAAAAAAAAATACAGTGAAATGTACTTTTTTTTGTAAAGAACGGCACTTACATCAGCCTTACAAATAAACATAAGATGTTTGCTAACTCACAAAATATCACCCATTAAGACCTCCCTCCCACAGGAGAAACCCCCACACTTCGTTCTCTTAAGAATATACAATTAATTGCCCTCAGCATGTGTGAGTGGCTATTCACAAGTTAACTTTATAGTAATATTTAATTGAATGAATAGAACAATGTTGTGCTAATGAGGGTCAAATTGCCACCAGATGTTGCTTTTTTCTGTTTTTTTTTTTTTTAAACAAACACAGCTGTGTACATGCAGGCATAGGCAATATAGAACAAATAGTGGAGGAGAAAAGTCCTAAGAAACATTTGTAGGCAATAAAGGAGAGAAAAACCTCAGGATTAATGAATTTCCATCCCACCTTTCATTTTTATTTCAGATACATTAAAACATACTGGGTTTGGTATTGTGAATATGCTCTATATTACATATTATTTTCAAACAATCATTTATGAAATGGGCAGGTTTCTCCCCGTGGGGGCAGGTTAGTGAGTCAGCCTGACGGGAAGTCATCAACAACCTGACTGTTCTGTGATGTCTTTCTTGACGCGGTCCAGGAGCCAGCTCGGAGTCTTCCAATCTCTAGCTGTACAAGCCCCTGTGCACACTTGGGAAGACAAGAAAAGAACAGAAGTGGAAAACAGTAGCATTTAAGACCTAGATTATCATAGCAGAGCCACTACTCACCTCTCATATTGTACAGGCTCTGACTGTAAAAATTGCAAATGGGTGATGAAAACAATAGGCAAAAAGGAAACCCAGTAACAACAACAACAAAAATCACACAACGTAAAAAAGTGTTTGATTCAATGTCATTTCTTTCATGACTTCTTTAACCATTTTGGAAGGGCACATTTTAATTTTATTTCTTACTTTTCCCTTGTGATAAAAGTGTTCATGAGCAGTAAAATGATCAAGAAAAGAAGAAAAAAAAATCAAACAGAGATAATCTGCAAATACAAATCCTCTCCTGAACAATAACTAATGACTGGTTGTCTCTAGTCAGAAATCAGGATTTTAAACAAACACAGTTCGTTTTTCTTGGCCAAAGCTCCATGGCTATTTGTGAGACAGAATAAAAGTACCTGGGTACAGGTGAATGGAAAATTAAAGAATTTTTATTAATCAATTTCTTCTAAGGGATTTAGGGCCCCTGTGGCAGAGACACTTGGGTGGGAATTTTGAATGTTAGCATCTCTCCAGCTTCAGTGACAGGCAGCTGTGTGGTAGGAAAACCACTGAAGCGGAGCTTTGTGATCTTGGCCTTGACATTCTATTTTTCAGACTTATGAAATAGAAGAATTGGTTTAGATAACCTTTAATATTCCTTCAATAGTAGCTGGCCTTGATAAATCCATAATTGTATGCTTCCTGACGTAGCCTTAGACAGAAGAGGATAATTCTGCAATTCTAGCAGAGCTGTTTCCATCACTGCTTTTAGAGGCCAACTGTACACACTTGAAGTTTTACATGTATGAAAAGTTAGCTATAGAATTCCCAAAGTAGGGTTTCTTTTTTTTTTTAAAGCTGGTCTGATCATTTACAATAACCAGAAATTAGATCTCTAATAAGAAACTAGAGCGGGTGTAAAATTTAACCCATTTTATCATCAAGCTGGATCAAATCCATTCCCACTAGACGTTGTGCCAGGTAGGCAGAAAGCAGGCTAAGAACTCACCTTGAGGACAGTGGCCACAGTCTCCTGTGAGGCGCTTCTCATGTCCTCCCCATTCACAGATAAGATCTGATCTCCCTGAATCAATCTCCCATCCAGGTCTGCAGCGCCACCTTTCACGATGTCAGAAATAAACACGCCACTTCCATTTCTGTGAACATCATAAAGCAGTGGGTATTGGCACAGCTTAGTTAGTATCTTTTTAAACTCTGCTATTACTGACATTCTAAATGGATGCAATAAGTTTCAGATTCTGAAGGACTCTGCAAAACCATTGACCCAGTAATAGCCAGTCATTTTTCAAATGATAAGCCTCAGAGTGCTTGCCTCTTAAATATATAGTTTGTGCCTATTAGTCCTGTCTATTGTAATATTCACTTTTATTGGCTCAAGGACAAATTTTCTGCAAGAGGATAATTTTAATAAGTGAAATGAAAATTCACTTTTAAAAGTTGAGTTGAATGCTTTTAAAATGCACACTTAGAGATCAATTATTAATATCCTATCTATTTCTAGTCCCTTTCTCACTCTTCCTTTTCCTATTTTTATTGCATTAAGACTTTGATTATATTTATTTGCTTGACAAATAAAAGTCTGGCTCAGAATTCAAGAGGTTAAAAAGGGAACCTTAAAAAGTTGCCTTGACATTTCAGTTTGCTAGTTCCCAAGTTTCCTACTCAGAGGTAATCAATGCCAGCCAATTCTTGCATACTTTTAAGGGACAGTCTATGCATTACAGAAACAAATGCATGTGTGTATACTACACAGGTATGTTAAAGGACATACATGCACATACATTATTTTTCCTCTCCAGTTTCGTTTTCTTTAATTCTGCTTTTTTCACTTAATACACCTTAGTTTTTATTAGCACTTGGAACTTTTCCATTGTTTTTATGGCTGCTTACTATTCTATAAGTGTTCCTTAACTTCACTTATCAGTAAACTACTGATAGCTTTCTTTAGTTGTGGCAAACAACATGCAATAAGTAACATAACTGCAAACATATCTTTAGGATAAGTTCCTAGTAGTGGAATTGTTTGTCAAAGAAATTTGAATTTTGAGAGCTACACATTTGGTTTTTTACAAAGGAACACTATGCCGGGGAACGCAAAATTCCTAACAAATGCAATCTGAAATACTGGTGCTATACAAAATTACTTCATTAGTTCATGACACAATGAAGTAAAAGCCATTATTCTAAGAAGAATCTTCCAGGCATATGTATGTATCACAAGGAAGTAAACTTTGACCTGGGCTCTGTTAGTTTGCTCTGCCCCCAGATGTGTGTTAATTCAGTTTAGGAAATGAGCATCAGCTTTTTTGTTTTGTAGTGCGTTTTCAGAGTGATGGCTTTATGGTGATGAAATAAAAATGAGGTCATGACAGCACAGTGCTTGGCACAAAAATAGTGTTCAAAAATTCTGGCAAATACTTTCATTGTAGTAACTGCTTGGTCTCCTGGGAAAAACTAGTTGGCTTCTGACCATAGTTCTGTGAGGGCACATGTAAAACCAACTTGAATTCTCACAAAGAAGATGACTGATACTATGAGGAAGAGTTAACTAAAAAGCACAGTCCTGCTTTAGAACAAATGCATATAAAATATTTAAACCAGTAAATCATACAAGTTGGACTTACAGCTTCAAGATATTACATACTCCTTTAATTTTCTGCAAGAGATATTCACTAATATTCTGAAACAATTACTTGAAATCCCATCATATGGGTAACACCTCAAAAGACCAGCTTAGCTACCAAGATCTAAATTTTGGGTGTAAGCTCTTATTTTGGGGATATATTTTTAAAAAAGGTTTGTTTAAATATAGAAGAACTGGAGTACAGGCCAGAGGTGTGGGGGTTGAGAGGATCCACCAGAGAAAGAGTGAGGAATACAAGATTGACTGAAACACACTGCTGAGGGGAGCAGCAGGGACAGAAAGGTCTGCTGTGCCATGTGGGTCACCTCTCTGGTTGGGGATCGAACTTGTGCCTCAGTGGCTTCAGATAGCTTCAGAGTGCTGTGCTTTAACCCCTTGAGTCATCACGGAGGGCCTGGGATATGCTTTTTAATAGGAAACTACTCAACTAGCTTTAGTACTATAACATGAAATTAGCATGATATGTGGTTAACCTAACATTGCATAAATTCCTCTCTTGATGGAGCAATTTCTTGGGTATGGTTGCTTTAATTAACCCCTGCTGCCTATGGTCCAAGTGAATCCAAGTTGAAAGAACATTGCTGACTCCATTTTTATTCTATAAGAGAATAAAATCTGAATAGCCTGGGTTGACTGGGTTTAGAGTTCTGTGTTGATGGGGCACTTTTTTGGGATAAGATCTTGCTCAGAAATGGGCACTTTTTGGGGGTAAGACCTTGCTTAGAAATGTGACTTAAGCAGTTTAAATATTCCTAAGTATGTGAATTAAAGAAATTCTACCATTAGTTGACACTGGACTTTACCTTTCAGTGTTGATAGGCACTAGCCTATAGAACTTGATTGGAAGGAAAATGTCTCATCGATTTTGAATAACACAGCATTTCTTTACCGTTTCCCAACGATGCTGAGACCCAATCCTCGGCCAGCCTTCTTCTGCAGATCCACAGGGAAGATGTCCAAGTTCTCCTCGTCCCTGTAGTGTGCCTCATCTCTATACACCACCAGTCGCACTTTTTGGGGAGTCTGCCTCAGGGCTGTGATGGCTTCTTCGTGGCTGGCACTCCTCAGGTCCACCCCATTGACCTGGAACAATGAGCAAAGAGAGATGGGAGCTGACAGCACAGGCTTCTCCACTGCTCTGACTACTAGAGTGCCTCAATCTGATCAGTGAGAAACTGCTAGAAATTTCCAGCCATTTCCAGTATACACAGGTTATGACCACTCATAATCCCAGCTGCTTCAATACAAAGAGGTGTTCTCTCACAACATCCCTCAACCCCAAATGACAGAGCGAGGTTCATATAATGCCTGTTTAAGTAGCTGTGAACTTGACTAGGAATAAAGATGGGAGACTAACTGGCTCATTAGATGGCGGTCAAAAGGAAAAGTTAACTTACTGGATTTAACACTCACTCTTAAATTTTTTTAAAATTTATTTTAAAAAGAGATTTATTTATTTATGTATATGAGAACTGGGGTACAGGCCAGAGGTGTGAGGGAAGTGACAGGATTTACCAGAGATGGAGTAGGGAGCAGAACAGCTGGGTCTACTGAAATACAGTGCTGAGGGGAACAGTGAGTGAGACAGGAGAAGTCTGCGGTGCCATGTGGGTTGGTTCCCTGGCAGGTTGGGGGATCAAACTCTTGCTGCAGTGGCTGGTAATAACATTCTTTTTTTTATTTTTTTCCCCATCTCAATTGTAGTCCCCGCAGTAATGGCTGACATCACAACCATAGGAAAGGAAATGGGACCAGTATTTCCAACAGTGTCAAAGACCACCTGAAGTTCTCTTGCTTGAATCTGCACCATAGTGAGCAGATAGAACACACACTAGACAGCAAACTGACCTGGAAATAGCTCTGGCTCTGCTTCTGGCAAGTTCAGGTAAATCTGGGCAAGTTGTATAACATCTGTGTACCTGTTTCCTTTTCTGTTAAACAGAGATCATAGCTAACATCTTTATTTTTACTTATTAAATACTTATACTTGTGTACTAGCTCTTGATGAATATTTGCTCATTAAATCTTTATTTTTAGTCTCCTAAATAGATGTTGTTACCATTTTTTTTTAAAGATTATTTATTTATACATACAGAACTGGGGTACAGGCCAGAGAAGCAGGGGTGGTGAGAGGCTTCACCAGAGACAGAGTGGGGAGCAGAACAGGCAGATCAATGAAGTACACTGCTGAGGGGAGCAGTGGGCGCGTCAGGAGAGGTCTGCCACACCATGTGGTCGCCTCCAGGGCAGGCGGGAATCGAACTCATGCAGAAGTGGCTTTAGATTCTCAGTGCAGAGCTTTAACCGGCTGCGCCACCAGGGAGGGCCAATGTTGTTACCGTTTTTTAAAAAAAGATGAGGAAACTGAGGCATGGAGTGGTTAAGTGACATGACCAAAGCTACAGACTATCAGGTGGAGGAGCTGAGATTTGAATCAGACTTTCTGATCATTCTGTCCTACAACCTGATCTTACAATGGATTGAACTGGATTCTCCAACCACAGAGTACTGATGTTGGTAAGTGAATCTGACACAAAGGAGAAGTTGAGAGGCAGAGCTGTCCCAGGCTCAAAAGTCACTTCCTCCAGGTCAACGCTGGAAAGAGCAACATCATACATAACCTAGGCTGTGGCCAGATGACTAGCGAATCAAGGATTTCCTCAAGATGCTGACTCCATTTGATGCTCAGGTCTGGCCCTGTGTCTGGAGGAGGTCAAATTTATCTGCGAACTTCCATACCTTCATTTTACAATGAAGGGTCAGTGCAAATCTTTTCCAATTCTAACATCCCAAAGTGAAAGGCCCGTAGCATAACGAATGGTGACAGAAATGGGAGAGGACTAAGCCTTGGAGAAGATGACACTGAGCTATTACTTAATACAAATTCTGTAAGTCAAAAAAGCACTTTTTTAAAAGCCTACTTTTCAAGCTTTTACTTTCCCCTGGTATGTTTTGGTGGCCTTGTGTATTTTCAGGGTAACTATAAATAAGAGTGGTTTAGAACATGGGATTTGATCAAGATGGATTTCAGTTGGAGCCAATGTTCTTACTCTACAAAACGTTACCTAAGTTATTCAGGTTCAACTTGAGCATGTCTCTTATGAACTAGAGAGAGCAAGAATACTCTCTACTCAGTGTTGTATGGATTAAAGGAAATAAACCCTCTTACACATTTGGCACAGGGTTTGGTACAGAGTAAAGCTCAATATAAGCTGAAGCTGATATTTTACAAGGGGTTGAGATAAGTGTGTTTAGTGCTGCTATATTTCAACACTGACATTCACCTGAGGTCCAGGAATACATTCTCATCTGTGGAGGGACTCACAGAACAAAGGGGGAAAACCGTGTCTCTAGAAAATGTGGTCTGAGCTGATTATTTTCCTGTATTCCAATAGATGGCACACAAGACCACTTCTGTTACTCAACTGAAAATAAAGTTACATTCATGGACTGAAGGTGAAGTACCTAAGTTTTTAGGTTTCTTTTTGAAAGGCCCTAATGATTATGATTTTAATTTACAATACTGTCATTATACTCTAATACCACAAAAAACAATTTGTACTAAATTTCAGCATCGAGAGATCTGCTGAAATCAAAGTGATTTCCTTCCAAATCTGCATTTTTCATTTCTTCCTCTGGTTACCAACAGGCGCCACTAAATGCACCCACGACTCTAAAAGAAATAGTGCTGCGTGGCTAGAACACTGTGGAGTGATATATTACCTAAGTGTCTTGCAGAAGCACTACATGCATTAGTTAGAACACTGATTGTGTGTGTGGGGGGGGGGAGTGGGGGAAGGTTGGGGTGATAATAACAGGGTCCCTGATTGGGAAGAAGAGCCATAGTAAGATCCAGTTTTCTATGGGACATCCTTTGTGTAGGATGAGCATGTGGGAGAAGTGTATGAGCCATTGTTTGAGAAGGAAAGAATAACCAACATAGGGTAGCAGTTTCCATTATTTTATTCCACGAGGAAAATAAGGCATTAACCCTATTTTTCTCTCCCCACTTGCACAAAAAATAGAAAGCAATAATAGGAGGAAGGGTAGGGTAAGGGTAAGCACTGACCCTAAAAGGGCAATCACAAAGTAGGCAGTTCTTGGCACTCATAAATGTCCCCATGCTAAAGAAATATTTGAGTGCAACTTTTAAGCAAAATCTGGCTTGTCCCAATTTTAACACCAGCTTAGTGATAAAACTATAGATGGCCATCTTTCTTGATGCAGGGGATGCTCAATAGCAGGAAAAAAGCTGGCAAAGCACTGACTTAGGGTTGCCTTGTTACAGGTGTCAACATGCACAACTGAAGTCAGCCTGTCTTCTTCTCAGGGCAACGTGCAGGCCACAAGCTGATTATGCATCATTATGTACCTGTACACAGAGAACACACTCAGAACAAGACCACTGTGGGGCCTGAAACAACTTACAAAGCAAACTTGTTACTTGACCAAGGTGAGAGTTCTATTGCTTAGCTACCAAGTAATATGCTTTTATGGACCAGAATCTGTCTAGGGTAAGAGAAGATCTTGGCCATCTCTACTGAGTAGTGTATTAGGTCTATATTGGGTTTTATAATTTGGCTAGATGCAGAGAAATGGTTTATTTGACCTTTCAAATTTTCCTTCCACTTAAAACAAGTTAGCTTTCTTCATGCCAACTTGTCCTGAGTGTTCTCTTATACATGAATAGGCTTTATAGAAGACAGAAGAGGGCCTATCCAAAACAAATAGTTAAATTTTTTTATGCCAAAGTATATTGTTTCAAAATAAACTATTCATATTTAAGTGTAAAATTTATCCTGTGAATGTATGTGACTTTATACATGTACAACACAAGATAATGCACACAGTAGATTTAGTTTTAGTTTAGTTTTAAGACTATTACAGAGTATTTTGTGGGTGTAAATATGTGAGAATAAAGCATGTATGAAACTATATTTATTTGAATATTCAATCTACTTACCTTCTGAAGCCAATTATAACACTTGTTAATTAGAAAATCTAGGGAGAACTCGCTTCTCCCTAAATCTCCTGATCACTAGAAAAATGGTGTGTATGCTAAAGTACTCAGGCCAATTCCCAAGAGGCCTCACTTATTTTTCTAACCTTATATATTTGTACCTTAATGAATGTACTGGGAATATGTCCTAATCCAATGATGAAGCACAGTAAAGGCTACAGAGAAATCCTATAACTTGCCCTGAATTTAATTTGCAGTCAACCTGACCTCTCCTTTAACTCCTTCTTGCCTTAATTTTCTGCCCTCAATTATATCTTTGGTTTCATCTTGGGAGGCAGAAATAAACCACTGAAGGGAAAAATAAAATTCTATGATGTCATTCAGAATGTGCTATATTAAAGCTGCAAAGCAAAAATGCACATGCCCGCCATAAAATCTTAACTATTCAATTAAATTCATCCAATGAAAGAAATAAATGTTGCCTAAAGGTTTCACACCATTGAAAAAGCTCTTTAGTTCCACCTACCAGAACGCCTGGCGTTGACTTCTCATTCATCCGTTCCCTAGTTTAGACATTGCCTGCCTTGGCACTTTTTAAAAGGCTTTAACACCTTTGCTAAATGAGAGTCAATTTGAAAGAGGCAAGTTAAGCATTTCAATTTTCAAAATGTGCTATTTACCACCTAAAGGGAGAAGAGTCTACATTTCCACCCACTAGAAAACAAAGATGGTAAAGCATGGACGTTTACTTGACATAAAGACTTAGTAGGTATAATAAAACAAAACTTAAAAAAGTCACAATGAAGTCTTTTAAATATCAGGTGTGTGGGTTTATGTGTATGAGTCTATATGGATGTGTTTTAGGAGGGAATTTAGTCAGTGTAATGAAGACACAAAAGAATCAAACTGTAGTACTACTTCATCTTTTTTGACATTACAGAATTTTAAGTTGTACTTTTCCTTTTAATAAGAGTTTTCACAGAAATTCAGGTTGATAATCTGTCATGATTCTAATTGTAGTAGTGTATGTTTTTAAAAAGGAATAAGGTAAATGTTTTGTTAAATGGGAGAGAAATGAGGATTGTGTAGAAAACAGTGGATAGATAAATTAGCTTTGTAGACCAAGGTCAGTAAAGGAATCATACTTAGTGGTATAAAATAGAATTCCTATCACATACCTCTAATATCTGGTCTCCAGCCCAAAGTCTTCCATCTCTGGCTGCTGCTCCTTCTTCATAGACTTCATGTATAACTATAGCATCCTGTAAAACAATTCTTAATTTTCAAAACTATAAATGCTTCCTTAAGCAAACAACCCAACTATAGATGAGATGACAAGTCCAGAATTGGTTATTTGCTATATGTCATATTTTATTTGACCTAAAGATAAACAATTTGTGGTAAGATACATTTAGAGGTATAATTTTTCTCAGGTTTATTATTTCATTCCTTTAGGACTAGCTTTGCCTAATATTTCAAGTTAAACTTCCTCCATATGTGTCACTGCTAACCCTATAGACATTGCTGCTGTGCATGAACCTGAGGTGACCTATGCGTCATTCTTATTTACATTTTATGGTGTATTTTGAAACATGATTTCAGCTATTTATTGGTCTTCAAGGATTGAGCATAGATGTGTGGCCTAGTGAAGGATGTTTGTCAGGCCCCATTACTTGGACAACGAAAGGAAAAGAAACTTGTGGCACCAACTGGCAACTGGAGCACAGAGCATGGAGTGGAAAGTGCATGAATGAACCTAAGTAGAAGACAGCCGTGGATTTGAATTCTAGCCCTACCATTATGTAACATTGGGCAACTTAATTCCTCTGAACTCAACACACTGCACTATGAGAACAGGACAGAATCCAAGGTAGGAAAGTTCTAGTTGGAGAAGTGTTTCACAGTTAGCGAATTAAAAAAAATTGTGGGCCCTCCTTGGTGGCACAACCGGTTAGGACACAGCACTGTAAGCAAGCTGCAGCTGCTTCAGTGTGAGTTTGATCACCGGCCCTGGAGGTGACCCCCATGGTGTGGCAGACCTCTCCTGACCTGTCCGCTGCTCCCCTTAGCAGTGTACTTTGTCGATCTGCCTGTTCTGCTCCCCACTCTGCCTCTAGTGAATCCTCTCACTGCCCCTGCACCTCTGGCTTGTACCCCATTTCTACATGCATAAATAAATAAATCTTAGAAAAAAATTTGTATTGCTTCAAATTAATATCCTTAAATATTTTATTATCATAAAAACATGAGCCAATGTAAAGGACTCACCCAATATCACAAGGTGACAAGCCAGAGGCAGAGGAGACACGTCTCCCACCTCAGGCCCTCAATCCCACTCCCCAGAGGAAACAGCCATTGACAGTTTTCTAAGGATTCTCCAGGCAATTTACATCTATACACCAAATTAGTTAGATTAGTTAGATTTTTCTGAGACTATTTTTTTTTCTGAGACTATTTTTAAGATATTCACTTGTGTTTATTTCCACTACTCCCTTCTCCCCCTTGACTCCTCATGTTGACCAAGCAGTCAAGCTCTGAAATTCCATGTCTCCGTGATTTTGTGGCAAGCAACCAGACTTCCCTGGCTCTTTTGGTTTCCATCAACTGAAGGGCACTGAAAAGACTGTGTTGAATAGAATATGACAGATGTATTGGGAGAGGAAAGAAAGTGGAGACAGAAGTATGTGGGTCCCATGAGAAGTGAGGACTTTGAGCCCTGCATGGCCTAGCACTCTCAGCACACACACAAATTGCAAGACTCTGCAGGCAGTGGTTCAAGTAAGGTGAACTCTAGGGACAGGGGATCCTACCTTGAAAGTCTTCCTTTGCCCCAAACACTAAGGGGTGAGGGTGGGGGGAGCTGGAAGCAACAGGCCTTCTGGATTTGAAGAGCTCATGGTCATGAATGAAAACTGATGATGAGGACCACATCACAAGGCCCTACCAATATCCGGGAGCTTTGTAGAGATATTGGAATCCCAAGAACTAATAAACCACCAAAATGACTGAGGTTGAATTCTGTCTTACTACAGAGGCACGGAGCCTCTTTTTAGAAAAAACCCAAATGAAACCTATGTCTTACAAGAAAAGCTCCTCTGTAGATTCTGGAATATGAACACAATAAAATAAGAGGTTTACAACCAGATAACCTATATGGAGTCCAAGTATCTTTCCAATAGTATATACTTCCCTTTTATCACCACCCAGTTTCTGAAAATATTCTTTTTTTTTTGAAAATATTCTTTATTATAGTAATTAGAGAGGTAGTGCCCAGAGCCAGAAAAGGCTCCTTGATCTAGACAATTTCCATGTTAGATTCTGTACCAGCAACAGATTTTAGACCATTCTTTGTTTAAACGCTGACTTATGAAATTTTCAGACCCAGGGAGTATTTACAGCCAAGAGTAAATCTGTTTCAGGGGAATGACTTTGAGGAAACTTGCTCTATCAGTGGATTGAGGTGACTCCAGCAATACCACCATGATGACAGCGAGGGACCTTTGTGAAGGAAAACACAGGGAGAAACTCACACATGTTCCTAGTAACACCCCATGCAATACTGATTTTCCACATTTGCTGCCAAACACCCCATCTTCACTGGATTTTACAGAGCTTAGTTTTTAGCATACATTTCACTGATCTTGGAACATTGGAAGAGTGAAATGAGAAAATTTTCTTTGTTCATATTCAAAGAGAAGAAAAAGGCACCGTGGAGTTTTTATTCTCTAAAAGTAGCCTGAATACAAAATTCTTAGATACTTTCTGGATGCCCAGTGAACTATCAAACATAAAAGAAAGATTCAGTTAATAGTCTCAAATAATGAACTTACTGCTGATGACCTATTTTTGTTTTATGAATCTTTCTGTATATTAAAAAAAACTCCACATGTATTTCTTTCCTTTTGCTTGACGTTTACTGTGATTTCTCTTAATGCTCTCAGTGAAAACAGAAGGGAAGACATGACACTCTGAAGTGTTAATAGAAAGAGGCCACATTCTTATTATGTGGCTTGGTGTGCTGAGTGTTCCATGAAGCTGTGGGGAGTGACGGGGTGAGGGGTAGGGACCAACAGTTAATTAGAAATGTGGGCCAGTGAGTTAAAAAAAAGAACTTATTTTTCAAAACTTACATACTTCATCATCTGAGAAAGATTAGCGAAAAGAAATATTGGATTGGGGACATTATGCCCATCTTTTTGACAAGGCAACATGAAGACTAGTTCCTCCTTGTTTTGAAAAATTATGATAAGAGGAATAATAGGTCACTCACAAAAGACTGCCCTTTATTGTTTTAAATATAAAATTTGCAGTGGATTACATGCACGATTCTTATCTCCTCACTGTATATCCCACATACTTGAATGAGCTGTCCAAGTAAAACTGTGCTAGCATAAAACTCTGAAGGATCTCTTTCCGATCAGCCCCTCCCTCCTATCTCAGCATATTTCAATAATATTCCCTCACCCTGCAATACCTTGGTGACTCTGTCTACCAACCCTGATGACTTCTAAAACTCTTCTAACCCGAAAGCAGCCTATTAATCATTTCCCTGTGGGTGGGTTGTTGGCTTACCCTGAGGAAAGGCTAGAGAGACAAATGATTATGAGTTTGGTCTCTGGAGTCAGACTTCTTAGTCCAAATTCTGGCCCTGCTACTTTTGGCCACAGGCCTTGGAAAGACTGTTAACTACTCCCAGGCTTTAGCTTCCTCCTTTTTATATAGTTTTAACAGTATTATCTACACATGCAGCTTTGTGCACAATGCCAGCACATACTAAGGAAACGATAACATCTCGTTTATTTAACATCTTTGTGCCAAAGATGCTCCATACTCCCCATTTGTCCCATTTAATCCTCATAACAACTAAGCAAGTTCAGTAATATTAATCTCATTTACAGCTGGGGAAACAGACGCCGATTTGAACCATGTCTTTGCAGCTTCTAAGGAGGAGATGAAATTCTGACTTGGGACCATTTAACACCAAGGTTTGTGTTCCAACCATTGTAGCAAATTTGGCATCTGTTTTGAGTATTTTGTTTTGTGCTTATGTAAAAACTAACTTTGTATTTTCCATATGGCATCAATTCTATTGAAATACTGTCTCCTCAGCTCCATGGCAAAAGCCTTGAGGGCACGAACTGATCATTTTATAGAGTGAACACAAAGATAACATGTGGAAGTGGAAACTGAAACCTTTGGCTTAACCATGTGGGGTGAAGATCTATGGCTCCCACTTGCTAGTGTTACTTTATGATTAGGAGTTTGTACTACACAAAGTTTGTGGGTAGACTTCTTTCCAAGCCAATATGGAGTCTGTCTCTTAACTCCACTTGTTATTCTTTGTCTCTTTCCTTCCTTACAACTTTTCAGTTCTATTTTTGTTCTATTTTTGTGTACCCTTATTATCCATTGAACACATTTTTTTTTCTATTGGAGTGGATAAAAATAGCAGGATAATAGATACAAGTGATAATATTAGAAATAAAAAGGTTTTCAGTTCAGTAAAATAGTTTCTCCTAATTAATGAATGGCAGACTTGAGAATCATTTATAGATGACCAAGACAGATGTGTAAATATAATTTCCTCTTGATATTTGTGTGATTTCCACAAAGACAATGGAAATTTAAGCAAGATGACCTGTTTAATTATTACCTCAGACAAGACCAACAATTTCCCTTTGGATATTCTCTACTCATATGTCAGCCCTAGTGTTGAAGTTTTCAAATGTTGGGTTTCTTATAGTCAAAAGGGTTAGGTTTGATTTCAGAAAAACAGGAAAAGTCTTGCTTAAAAACTCTTTCCAATCTGTATCTGAGGCATATTTGACTGAGGAGAATATTCTAGAAATAGGGATAATATTTAAAAAAAGAAGTAACTGTCTAATTCATCATACTATTGAAAGAACTATGACTCTAATGTCTCTATTCTAAAAAGAACAAGTATGTATGTTTCATTAATTTCCACAGAGATAATATATGTACACTGCACTAGACTCAAAATAGTATATACTAAAAAGTTTCTGTCTAGCATTTGTCCACCAGTCACACAATTTCCCTAACTAGAGACAAACAATATTAGTTTCCTGTTTTTATGGAGATAGTCTATATTTCTATATTGGCAAAGCTGAAGGGCACCACATGCTTGAGGGTAATGCCCTCCATTATTTTTAATCTGTCACTCCTTTGTTTCATGAATTTTACTTGAGCTAGCCAGGTATCATGCCTTCTATTAACTATTCTCTGCTTCTTCTCTAATCAACAC